CATTTGAGACATCATTTTCTATTCTAATCAGGTAATGAAGTGAAACCTGCGGTTGTGCAAGTGTAAATTAAATGGACGGCGAAGCGACCAAAGACAAATTTACTCGTGTTTGACCGGAGTTATCACATCATCACCTGACCAAAATAGAAAAGTATCTTCCTTGTATTTGGGAATTTTCTCTGTCATGATTCATAACTAGTTTACTCATCAGTCTGAATAGTTGCCTAAAGGTTGATTTTCAAATAATTTCGACATAATGGAAAATTGTCACTTTATGGGGTCAAATTATGACATGATAACTCCAGTTTTCGGGAACAATGATTATTGAGTTAACTGCAGTGTAATCACTCGGAAAACGATATGAGAAAGAACCTGATTGAACAATAGTAGGTCGATAACATTATTTGTATGTTGCTTATCTGTACATGTTTATATGAATATGAAACGAAAGAACCGGTATTGTATAAGAAATAACTTCCTTTGTAAACATGTAAACTCAAAGTCTTAAGGATACATACACAAAGCTACTAAAAGTGGTGCATTGATTTATAACTAAAAGTCAGGTATCTCAATAGAAACAATGATACATGCGAGTATAGTTTATGTTAATTTCTAATTTAAAAAGAAATTAAAAACTCAAATACCTTCACCTATACTTATTTACCAAGTATCCGATTTTATATTATGATAATAATGTTCTAAATAAACCCTTGTGATTGTTCATAACAGTGGCTGCCATTTTATTATTTCAAATACACAATACAATGTTAAGGAAGTACAGAGGACTAGACATGCTTTGAAACATATACCATATTATAACATATACCATTTCCATTTGGTATGTAATTAAGAATACAGATATATTGGTTAATATGTTGGATATCTAACAGATATATATGTTTATATGACAATGGCTGCCATTTTGTTATTTCAAATAAACACTACGAAGTTTAAATATTAAACATTAAATATTGAGTTAGGCAAAAATTAAATATTGATGATTCTAAAAGGACAACAAATGAATTTCGTTTCGTTTGTAATGTAGTTATGAAATTGTACTACATGTGTAGTGTAGCATGTCGCACGTGCATTTGCACGTGTTAGCATTCGTCGAGATCGTACACAGCATACGGACGTATCATTTATTTTATTCATAATGCATTTCGCTGAAATGTTTTCATTTCACATGCATTCTCTTTATTATTGTTTTTATATTTCTAGAATTTATGCTTGAGATAGTACTCGTATATCAGTGTGGCGTTCAGTAATGTGTATTGGACTGATTGATTGGACTCTCCTGAATTTCTTTTCATGTTTAAGGAAACATTTTATAATCGAAATACTGCTGTACACGTATATTGCATGCTATTAAATTGTCGAAAATTGTTTGGTTTATATTATCATTACTACATAGATACGAAATTATTTATGTACGGATGAGGAACGAAGGAGAACATAAACAAAACGTAGACCGTGTTATGTTACCTTTTATGTTATGTTAAAGCTGATTGGTCTGAGAGAGGAACGATAACATGTGTTCTGTGTTCCATTTTTTATTCAGATTGGAGTGCCACACAACTATACACGGGGTACCGGAGCCAACCAAGGGATATCACTCCAGGTGCATCATAGTTTAGGTTGAACACTACCATTATATAATATACGATGTAGTCACATTGTTACAGACCGCTACATTCCTCCACCCTTCTATAAAGACACACGAGACCCTCGTGCCAATATTCCGTTGGTATATTTTGTTCGGCGCTAAATGTTCAACAGGTGAAGAGAAATGCACGAACAGACAATGACTCGGACCTGGGACCATTGTCACGTCCGCATGTTTGTAAGTATGCTTATACCGCTATGACCGTAGGGCGGAAGGTATGTATAATAATAATATAATAATATACAACATTTATAAAGCTCCCTATATAATTTGTAAAATTACTCTAAGGCGCTTTACAACATATGGGTAATAGTAATGGTTATAATTGTTAAAGCAAACAACAAAGGCTTGAAATCACTTTCATGCATTTAACAAGCAATGTGCACATAATTGAACAAATAAAAGGATGGTATTTACCTGACGTCTTTGCAAAGATTCTAAAATGCAGACGTGAAGAGGTGAGTTTTTATGTCCCTCTTGAACTTGGCCAGGGTATTTGACTTCCTAATAGCTGATGGTAAGCTATTCCACAACGTAGCCGAAACCCTCCCAAAGCATCTGTTTGCGTAGGTCACAGTACGAGATTTTGTGACACACAACAAAGATTCTGACTCCGACCGCAGTGATCTTGACGGCTGATACAGGGTAACAAGCTCCTGTAGGTACTGAGGAGCTGTTCCATTCAGTGCCTTGTATGTATAAACCAGAATTTTGTACTGCGACTTGTATCGTACAGGGAGTACGAGTAACTAGCCGTGCTGCAGTGTTCTGGACCCTCTGCAGACGACTAGTTAGTTTGTCAGATATACCACAGAGCAGGGTGTTACCATAATCCAAACGAGAGGTAACAAGTGAATGCACCAAAATCTTGCATGCATCTGCAGTTATAAACTGCCGAATACAGCCGATGTTCCTGATCTGGTAGTAACAGGATTTGGCGATAGCGTTCACTTGTTTCTCCATGTTCAGATAACTGTTAAAGTATACCCCTAGGTTTTTAACAGCAGGTATCACGGGCGGAAACAGGTAAGCGCGAGGGAGACGACATACTATACAGGTAGAGCTAGTGTTGGCTTATCGTCTCTGTCAATCCGATGGAATTATTAGATACCCCAGGTGAATATGAGCACAAAAGACAGTCTGTGTTTAGTATCGCATCTCTCTCTCTCTTATGTTTCTGTTATTATATATTGGGTAACGTTGTGATATGCTTTGTTTATCGACACGGTCACCTCATGTGTGACGTTTGTTGTTATGGTGCTTCAATGTTCTACACTGTTTAATATATTTTTTTAACTCTTATGATGACAGATAGCCAATATCAAATGCATAGTAAATGCTTATATAAGTAGTCAGATGTATTTGTTTTTTGTAAATATCAGTTTTATCACTGTTAACGTATATCGGTTTGATAAGAAAATGTATGGAAGCAATGATCCGTTTGTACTAGCTTCATTAATATTATGTAATGGTTAAACTATTATTGGATTGATATTAAATATTGTCAATACTTTGATATATTTTTCTTTAGTAATAAGATATATAAGAGAGTAAGTTGTTCTATATTTGTATATTAATTTATTATATCTCCACGTGACGGGGAACCAGTCATTTTGGGTGAACACATAGAACCTAGTTAGGCATCTTACTAGCTCAGAGCAATGGGACCGACCAGAATGCTATCAATTCAACTGGTTCAGGCTCAGCTTCTATGGATATGATGTTTTTCTTACAAGGTCAAGGCTACGGAAGCAAAGGTGTGTTAGCGTCATTGAGCTAACCTTTATCGCAGTAGTTGATCTATTAATTAATCTACTGCACTCGAGCTAGACAATGTGATACTTTGGAATAGAATGTGTCTATGCTAATTCATCTGTGTCGTCAAGAAGTGAAGACATAATAAACTATAGTAGTATAAATTATCTGTGAGATAGTGAGTGTGAATGTGGGAGTAGGAGTTGGTTTTGATATATTCTTGCTGTAAATAAATTATTTACCTAACAAACCTTTTCTATTTGTGATCTCGTCCAACGTTACAACCATAGAAAACTCAAGACGGTCTAACAAATTGCGCTATACAATTTACCTGGTTGTAGTGATTTACTGAGTTCAGTTCTACTACACACTATCTAACTTCCTCTAACGATGATTGTCTAGTTAATACTGAACCCCGTGTAAAATGTCAAATGTTGTATCATTGCCATACCTCTTTTACAATTGTCACCTCAACCAGGAAGTAAACTGTTATTGAATAACTGATCCCTTGACAATATTCATGTATGTTATTCTACATTATTTGCAGTTCTAAGTTTAACACACCTACCTTCAGATCTAGTTGTGTTGAATATCAGGAATAAGATCAGACACACATATCTGTTGATCACTAAATTTGTCGTCGACATATTTGAGCGTAGTGGCGACTCAACATTTACAAGGAAGTATAACGTACATCGTGAGAGGTTTAAATCTCCTTACTTAAAACCGGTATTTGACAAGTAAATATACACACATACACCGAGTATACATACCCACGACAAGTGAATGTACACACATACACCGAGTATAAATACCCACGACAAGTGAATATACACACATATACCGAGTATACATACCCACGACAAGTGAATGTACACACATTTACCGGTTGTACACACTCATTAGAATGGCCTGTAATCACATATACCGGGTATACAAACTCACAACAATGGTATGTGACCAAATTTTGTAGGTTCAAGTTCAAGTTCTTTATTAACATTAAGTCTTGCGACTTATCAGTGTAAACATGTAATAAACAGGATATGTACATATGTACAAAAAGCCACATTGGTCACAGGAGAATGAACAATACACATATACAGACTGTCATATATCTGATCGGCGCTTATTTGCCGCTATCAGATACTTTCCAAGATTACATAATTCTTTAATAATCTGTGTTTTAAGTAATTAAACAAGCTTATATACACTAGGGTTATTTCTATAATAGCATTTTAAATACTTCCGTTCCGTTATACAGATTTAATCTGTATAATTTGTGCAAACTAAAACAAAATGTAAATCGTCTTCTACGTCATTAAGATTACACTTTGTACATACTTTATTAGTTCTAACAGTGCCAACATAACGTCCAGATTCAATGTTTAATTTGTGAGCTGACAGCCTAAGTCGAGCAATTTTTTTCATATAACCGATATTAACTTATGTTTTTAGATACGATTGTAGTAAAATTGTACTATTTAATTCTTTGTAAAGCATACCATTTGACATACATGTACCTGTAATTAAACTATACTCCTCTTGATTAAAAATGTCAAATAATCTTGCCTTAATAATAAAAAAGGTGAAATTGTTTCCATTCTGAGCGCCCCAGATACAATTCATCTTTTATTTCACAGACCCATGGATCCTTGATTAACAGCATATTTTCATAACAGGATTTCTAAATACAGTTTTCGGTATTGAGCAATATAAACCAATATTCAAACATTTTTAGTTTCCTTGTTACATGCAATGGAAACAATGTTTTTCAAAGACAGCCACTGTAACCTGGTCTAAGCACATTTTGGTCAGTATGTGAATATATATTTAACTTGGTAAAAACTTCAAAATAAGGTTAAAACAGGGCAATATATGGCTCTATGCTAAAGCCTGTATAGTTGGACTGACCCTAATACAAGGGTTTTAAATTAGGATTGCATGTGTTTCAATAGTACTATAATTATCTGTGTACCAGGTTTGAGCACCGGAATCTTGATAGAACAGAATTATTGTCTGCTGTCCTGCACAAGTGTATCCCACTCCCTCCTAACCACCTCTGCCCAATCATCCTTAGGCTACTTTCCTCATACAAATTATATATTTATTTATATGCTTTTGTAAGAGAGCAATGACTAACTTAAAGTTTAAAAACTTAATATCTATAAAACGTTCGAAATTGAAAATCAAATAACCTGTGTCAACACCCATGTGTAAAAGTACACCACAGATTTTAGAACCAGTTACATAGCACATTATAAGTACATTGTAAAGCACAATTTTGCATTTAGCACCACTTTATTGTTCGGTATAATAGAGTGTATGAGTTTTGTTAGCCGTCCTCTGCAGTAAGTTACTCTGTCGTATTTTCATATACAGCCTTTCCAGATTTGAAAGTGATTTTTGTTCAGTCTAATGATTTTTTGAACTTTTTTTTATCATAGATTGCGTTGTCTCTTTTTAACAGTTAAACCGTGCACTTCAAGACTAGGAACAGCAATAAGTCACTAAGCACCACAGATCACGCTATTATAAGAAATGCAGATGTGAGTTTAGTTATGTGTATGTGTTACATATAGGTTATTTTGGTTAAATCCAACTTAAATTCCATTTTTTAGTGAATTAAAATTAATTAATTTGTTTTTATTTCTGACATGATATACACTTTGACCAACATCCTGTTTATTGATTTAATAAATTTCTGTTGTGTGTTAACTCAGACAATAAGCTGTTTATAGAATTACATTAGCCCTACCCCAAATATTCTCCCTGTAAAGTGGCGGCACCCTAAGGAGCATGGGGCGCTATATGTACACAATGCGTTTAATGGATAGCTAATCAGTTAAGATCGATATCTGATAACATGTTATGACGCATGGTTAAGAATTTTGGAGTTTTGTGTGAATTCTAAGTGTGTTAAATTGTTAAAATTCAATAACATTTACTAAAACAAATATTTAATTACTTAAGATACTGTGATGATTACAGGAACAGAGGTACCAAGATTTCATTTCCAATATATGTGAGTGGTATGCATAATAAATGTGTGTGCAAAATATGAAACTGCTAAGTGTGTGCCTAATTGGTGTCCTACAGGTTAATGTTATGTAAATGAAATGATAATTGTTTTACTCGGTAATGTATATTTTTCAGAAAGTCATTTCAACATGTTAAAGGATACGGATTCCTTCAAGGAATAACAAACCAAAAAAGTTTTTTTAGATCTTGATATTTGATGGCGGATTGATTTTGGGTCAAACGTTAGGGGATGTACCCGTCCCACTGCACCGGTCTGGTTTGTAAACTTTTGGTTTTCTAAAGCAGACGCCTGTAGCGCTCCTATATACCATTAAACCCGCCAAAGATGCCATATAAAACCCTTGTCAGGTATGTATCTGTGAATCTAGACAGTTGTCTCTAGTGTTGAACATCAAATATAAAGGATATTAATTAAAAAGCTTAGTAATAACAAATAGTAAATGATTTAGTTGTGTGAGTCATGTACAGAGAGGTATTAACCAGCTATCCAGCCTTGCAAGTCAGAAGCCTCATGCTTCTATGGAACCTGTTATGACTATTTATTCTGATTGACTTAATCCTCATGGTATATGCGCAGTGAGTTCGGAATGTCTTCTGGCGATTCACCAAAATCAAGACGTCTCGAAAGTCAAAACCCACGTAAACAAGTAGATGCACCGATGATTGCCGATCCTCGACGGGAGCATATGCCGAACGACTAACAGTACGTTTTCGTTAGTTTTAGATAGTTTTGTTAAATGAAAACACAGGGAAAATAGTGAAAGTATAAACGTTAAATGAAAACACAGGGAAAATAGTGAAAGTATAAACGTGAATCACTTTTCAACAACCATAAGAACAATGAACTATTGGTTAACAATACCGAGCGATACAGTGCGAATAAAGCTTGAGCACTCTGTGGGCGATGGCAGATGTGGTTGATATAATTAATGTCTTCAAGAATTAAACCTATTTGTTTCAAAACCACATAATCTAGATTTTAAGGTATATTTGTATGTCACCATAGTTAGCTAGATGTGTAGGTTTATCTCTAAATATATAATATATTTATTCAAAAAGATCATACATACAAACATCGACACGGTCCCATGAAACACGCAGGTAAACATAGTCGCCTTGACCACGTACTTAGGGTGTTTCCCGTCACTCTGGGCACTTACGTAACTGTCCGTGGTGTACAAACTATCTGTGCCAGACACAGGCCAAACAAAACCTCACGGTCACTCATCCAAATGTTGTTTACCTGTTCTTTTACCTGAGAGCTATTATTGACAGTTTTACATTTCTAATACTTTGCATATATGTAATACGCATTGTAAAATTAGACGTAATGCAAACTTTACTAACCAGAAATAACACATATACAATATACCTAATTTCAAATTCCGAACTAAGCAAGCACATAAATGAAGAAAACGATATCAAAACACAACACCTGTATATTGTATTGTAGTAGTCAAAATAAACTCTAAGCTTTATATCAATCATATTGCCTACATTACTTAACGTACCCTCATCAAACAATGTTCTTCGTATATTTCAAGAATTTTTTAGTAAAATGGAAACAAATAGAATAAATGCTTACTTTCGGATCTTGATACCGGAACAATCAAGAGCAGGATAGGCAATATATCCGAGCATCGTAATTTTATTCTGGTCGACATGCCAGTCTGCTACTAGCTAGCCTTCGATGTGGCGTTATAGACAACAAGGAAGTATCACAGCGTTAACAATCGTCGACCGTGGACATAGCTGTAGTTATCTAACAAAGAAATCTTTCTAATTGAGAAAATATAAAAAAGTCTTTACAACTGATTGTGTGGCATTGTAAATGCGAGTTAAATTTAGATCAATGACATTGTGCTCTTACATACGTTTTACACCGCGCAGTTAAATTATGCAATTTAATTCTGAATACCATTACCATTTAAATACGCTTAAGAAATCACTTTGAAATTAAACTACCACAAACCATTTTACCACTAATCATATTAAATATTGGTGTAAAGACCTGTGATCTATCAAATAATGTACTCATTAACAATTAAGATGAAAATATTGTCTGATATGAAATATTTGATATATGGGTATTGAATATTAGTTTGGAATAGCTGGCAGATTGGAAATAGCATATTCATTTTAGAATTGTTAGTTTGATAATATTTTGCGATTTACTTACTGTTGACTGTTATTGTTGTTTGATGCATCGTGAATGCAGACGTAATATATGACATTCTGTAGATGGGATATTACAATGTATAACAAATATTTTATCACAAAGGCAGTATTGATACTCTATAATGTGTTACACTAAGGTGTTGTCCTCATTATAGAAAACAAAGTGTAGTCGTGCTTTCTGTTGACCTTTGGCAAATCTAGTAGGTATGGATTGGGTTGTCAGACGACCACTATGTGCAAATATCTGTATTGTATGTGTGGCATTGCTATTTTTGGAAAATTATTCGAGTTATTCTGTGAGCTTAATGTACACCCATTCATGACTGTTATACGCTTTACATCGAACTCTGAACGGTTTGCATTACCTTTCTAACCAAACCACTTACACCAAGCCAGGTCTGTACAGCTACGCACATTATGTCAATACAATTGTTTGGAAATGCTTTTAAAGTTAATCTACATGTTACTTTTTTCCGTTTCATGTTTCACTACGTAAATGTACAAACTTGTTTCAAGACGCACCGAGCTTAGTACATAATGCATTTCGCTAGATATAAATTTGTTGTTTATGATTTGCAAAGGCACCAGG